AGTCAAAGCATGGGACGAAATTGACTATGACTACTTGCGTGCCTTAGCAGTGGCTCGCCAACAGTTTGCAAATTACCGACAACAAGAAAAGCTAGCGCGAGAATGCTGTAATGCATTTGTTATTGTTTAGACTTCTGAAACGAGCTGTATAAAGGCTGTTTTGAGAAAATGATGAAGTATAATGGTTCCTGAAGATAAGCATAGAAAATTATGTTTGTTCATAGTAGTATCATCCTACTATAATAACGCGCTAAGGCCGTCTGTTTTTTTGTGTGTCTGTCTGTGTGTCTGTGTGAAAATCTGTCTGTCACGAAATTCATAGAGGAAGCTGCAACTAAGCTATCGCGCTGCAATTTTGCATAACATACCGTGCCAGCGTGTAGGCCCACCATGCACAAGAAGGACCCGCTTCGATAAGCGGGTCCCTCAAAATTTGCGCGTCAAATGGGTCCACTCGCCTTTTGGCATGCAAAACTTGGTCGCTAATTCGACTTTTTGCACAGTTATGATTTGCCTGACAAGTAACTCTGCGCGCCATGAATTCAAGCCCAAAAAGTGCTCAAAAAGTTTGCTTTTTTGCGAAAACAGCGCCAAAAAGTGATGAATGCGTAGATAGTCGATTTGGTAAGGTTTTATCTGAAAAGACTGAAACGATTTTTGCACTGGAATGTAGCCCAAGGTGACTATTATCCTTAAGAAGATTATCAAAGTAAAGTAAATTCAGTAATCCGTTCAAATTCGCATTTGTTTCCTCGCAACAAAGTTTTTTTTTCTTAAAATTACCGATCTTACATGGAAATGCTTCATGAATGAAGTTGTTTACGATTCATTTGTGATGCTCAGCATCGCGTGGTGAGTTTCAAATCCATTCTCATGCGAACCTGAGAAAGGCGTAAGGACAGGGAGCCAGTGCTAACCTCCGCGAAGCGGAGGTGACGCACTGGTAACTTATAATATTGGGCTAAGGGTGTTTACGTGACTTTGTGTGTGTGTGTGTGAGTCTGTCTGTCTGTAACGAAATTCATACAGCGGGTTCCAGTCAACATCCAGAGCTCAGATTTTGCATAGCGCATGCTACCAACGTAGAGATCCACCATGCAAAAGCACGAACGGATTCGCTGGGTGGGTCCCTCAAAATTTGCGCGTCAAACGGATCCACTTGGCTTCTGGCTCGCAAAATTGGGTCCGTATCAACGCTTTTTGCAAAGCCGTGGATGTGTTTAGCAGGTTGATGTGTAAGTCATGGACTTTAGACCAAAAAGTGACCAAAGGGTTTGCTACTTTACGAAGACGAGCCAAAAAGAAGTGTTCGCGTAAATGGTCAATCCGCCGTGGATTTACCTGAGCATTTGAGAAGATTTTTGCATAGAGATGTAGCTCACGGTAACTATTGTCCCCATGGGGACTACCAAGCCAAAAAAAAGTTTCAAAACCTACTCGAACTTGCATTTGTCCTTCTGCGAAAAGTTACATCCACGCGAAATCATCGATCTTACATAAAAAAAGCTTTTAGAATGAATAGTTGTTTACATTTTATTCGCATAGTCAGCATTGCGCGGTGAGTTTCAAAGCCATTATTAAACGAGAATAAGTAAGGCATATAGAGTAGAACCAGTGCGAGCCTCTGCGAAGCAGAGGTGACTCACTGGTCAATATATATTACGGCTGGCAGCAATAAATGGATGCATTAGGGTTTGTCGCAGCACTTAAATAATTGTTCACCACTCTTTTTTCAGGTGATTTTTGCTCTGCTTTGCTATTCGCAGTCATTCTATGTGTGTATATGGCGTTCAACGGAGTACTGGACTGCTTTTAAGGAGCAGCTGCTTATAATGATCTGCAAAGTGCCGCACAACGACTACGATTCCTCACAAATAAGGTCCAAAGGCGCAGCTATATCGGTGATAAAAAAGAAAGGAACACGGTTGAATACGATTCAAAAACTGAACTCAAGTTGATAATGTGTTGCGCATCTTATATATAAAGCTGAATGTATGGTTGTATATTTGTCTTGTGTCTGTATGTGCGTACGTATGTGCGGAATAAGAATTTTTATTTCTGGACCGATTTGGACCAAACTTGGCACACATACACTTCGGGGCAGGAAGCGTGTCACAGGCTACCTTTCGTTATCGATCGATATCGATTTTCATCGATTTTTTGCATAATTTGGCTTATGAAGCTGGGAGTTTGCTTTCGACAGGAACGAGCGGAGCCCGGTATACCAGTTGGTAATGTATTAGTGGCAGAGTTTTTAATTCTACTTCTTTCTCGAGAACAAACATTTTAAGAACACTATTTTTATGTTGAAGCACAACGTCAAAAGCAAAGTTGGAATAGAGGAAGAGATTATAACAAGTCTTGGAACAAATAGCGTGTAAACAAAGTGGTCGACGCTCTTTACTTACAAGGAAAGTCACTCTTAACTTAGGTCGGCCTTTTGAAATGAGACACATATAGTTGCAATCAGCCTGAAATGCTGATTTCAAATCTGCTTTCCATAGCTGCGAAGCATTACTCTGAAGCGAGTTAGGTGCTTTTTCTTGAGCAAACTTTGCGTGTTGACAGACTTAGGCATGCTACGGTATCATCATCTAGGTAGTGGTTCACGTGCATACTACACCCTATCAAAGCAAAGTGACTCAATTTGATGTTATTTCAATCTTCCACCACTGCCAGATTTTCATCGAAAGGCCCTCTTTCCATATTCAGTTATATGTGAATGACACATACTAAAAAAGCTCATAACTCGCTCCAGAGGAATGCTTCGCAGCTAAGGACATCATATTTGGAATCAGCGTTCCGAGCTGATATCAAATATATGTGTCTATTCTAAAAGGCCGACCTAAGTTAAGTGACTTCCCTTGTTAGGACAGGGCAAGCAACGATCTTTCTAATATGTGTATCTTGTTTGGTCTAGCTCGACCGCATACTGGACCTCAGCCACTCATTGATTTGTGCTTCGTAATTCTTTGAACTTTGGATTACTCGTCATCTAAAGAAGCATAGTGTGCAGGAACTCCTTTGGAGGGGTCCACTATAATTCCTATGGACTTTTGCTCCTGAGAGCTCTCCTCGTCTTCAATTCGCTACGCAACAAGACCAAATTGTTACTTGGAAAACTCAGTAAGCTCACCCATTTCCGGGCGAGCTGGTTTGAGTCCAAGCTCAGCGCTTGAGAGACTCAATTCTGTTCCCGCAGCAAGCAGAACGAACTTCTCCACTCCCCACAGAGGGGACGAACTGTTCAGCTGCTCGAATACTTTTGACTATTTCCGTTCTTCTGCTTCAAGTGTGTTTTCTCTCTCTCCCATGACTTCCAAAAAGTATTTGGCATTGTCTCTATTATGACAGTATACGCTCCGCCAGCGTTCGAAAACGAAAAGTGAAAATATGAAAAAAATCCAAAATTTGTTGACAATTCTTTTAGTGTGCATCGCGTAGGATACGGACACGGATATGGAGAGACTGAAATGATTTTTATTTAAAAAAAATTCCCATGTTAAAATGCGAATGTGCACCAACATGAAGCACCGTCAACTAACTCACAAGGGAAGTCACTTAACTTAGGTCGGGCTTTTGAAATGAGACACATATATTTAGAAACAGCTCGGAACGCTGATTCCAAATATGCTATCCTTAGCTGCGAAGCGTTCCTCTGAAGCAAGTTATGAGCTTTTTTAGTATGTGTCACTGACATATAACTGAATATGGAAAGAAGGTCTTTAGATGAAAATCTGCCCAAAAAGTGGTGGAAAGTCAAAATAACATCAAATTGAGTCATTTGGCTTTGATAGGGTATGATATGCATTTGAACCACTACCTAGATGATGATACAGTAGCATGCCCAAGTCGGTCAACACACAAAATTTGCTCAGGAAAAAGCTCATAACTCGCTTCAGAGGAACGCTTCGCAGCTAAGGAAAGCAGATCTGAAATCAGCGTTTCAAGCTGATTCCAACCATATGTGTCTCATTTCAAAAGCCCGACCTAAGTTAAGTGACTTCCCTTGTCAGATGAACATGTGCACACGTGACTGTGCCACCTCTCATACTCGATAGAACTTTGGACTATACCCTGCCAGATCATCACATCGTGGCACTTACGGAAAGAATCTCACAGGGGAAGGATACCAGATCGCAGTGGCGAACCGAAATGATATGCATATCATCAGATGCGTTTTGATGAGCTGATTCCAAATCTACCTTTCTATCTGCTACGAGCTTCTCAAAAGAAGTTATGAGCATTTGAATGTCCAAATTTAACACATTGACGACCAAGGCTTCGCGGACCAGTCAACATTTTCTAGATAAAATCACGCACACTTCTGTTTACAGTACACCTATAGTAACGCTGGAATGCTGGAAAAAACAGTAAAGGCTGTGTCTAAGTCCAGCATAAAAGAAAACACCCGGGATGGGTCTGACACAAAATAGTAGCCATTTCAACGACACATATGGTGTGTTAAACCTTGACACACCATGTGTGTCAAGCGCGTCAATGTGTTAAGAAACATTCACTGCCACATCTTTAAGAACAACATGTTCAAAGACGCTTACTCATGTGTTCGGTGTACGTATGCATTTCTTGTAGTCAGTCTACTCAAAACCATGCAAAGTAATCACCAGGGTAAAGCGGGGGGTGCGGCACGCGACCGTCGGATACGACCCCCCCCCCCCTTGGGCCGGACCTCGGCACGACCCCCCCCCCCCCATTCTCTACCCCCCCCCCCACCCCTACCTTTTCCACGAACTCTCAACTTTGAAGTAATTGCTTTATTTCAACTTGGAAGGAAGAAGTGAAAACGAAGTGAAAATCGCATGGGTGTTCGTCTAGCAACGTACACACGGCAAACGCAAGCCGGCAGCAGAAGACATTCAAACATTACAACATCAACATTCCAACACATTCAACGAATCTTTTAGATGCGAACAATCATCCATCGACATGATGGCTTCAGGACCACCATAGATACTAACGACAATATCAGAAAAAACTCATCAATGCTACGACCGAAATATTCGAAAAACAGAACTCTATAAGAAACTCTTCCAAAAAAGTTTATACCTGTTGCATCCTTTTCATAAAATCCGCATGCTTCTCAAGTTTGTCACTGCGAAAAACAAAACTGAAAATACATAGAGGAAATTGAATAATTTAGATCATGTTTATGTATCTGAGCTTCCGATTCCTTACCGACCTGATGCCATTCAGATAACTGGCGAATCCTTTGCCGTAGAATGCCATCAGGTAGTAGTAGAGAAATGCGCGATCTTTTCTGTCGATCTTTCGATAAAGCTCAGCAATTCCTACCCAAAAAAAGCTCAAAAACGAAGAATTTATCCTGATTACTAACCGTCAATGAGGCTTATCGTAGTCGACATAGGTTTTCTCGTAAACTGGCAGAACTCTCTGAAAATCTCAGCAAACCAACTTGAAAAATAAAACAGCCATGGAAGCTGACTCAAGAATTTTCATTGCATCCTCCCACCTCTCCCCTTTAGCGAACAGATCGGCTGCCTCACATAGTAGGCTATCTTTCAACTGGCGCTCGACGGCACAATGGCAAATCAAACGTCTCCAAATGAGAGACTTGGTCATTCCACTGAAACATCAGAATTCTTTGCAGTTTCAATATGGATCAAAATGCCAAAATGTATGTCCCATTCACACTAAGAGTGTTAGCATTGAGCATCAACATTTTCAATAAGACCGACCAGAAGCTGCACTGTTCTACTCATGCCATTTTCCATGCAATCAGACGTCTCCCTGACAAGTCTGTACTCAAAAAGGCCCTAAGAGCCAAGCAATCCTTTCAATAAGTGTTCGCTTGCCGTCTTCCCACAGCATTTTGTCCGATCTGAAAAAAGGAGGTTGGGTAGTGAGTTATGCAAGTGGTTGGTAAACAAGACTTATGCGTACTGACATTAACTAGTGAGAATTTTATGAAATGCTCCTGAAATGCTCTTTTTCCACGGTCTTGATCAACCAAGCTGTTCAGCTGAGCAGTGAGTTCATCAGAAAACTGAAAATGGTACATTTTTTGCCTGATCTTGGTCAGAATATGTGTATGGATGAAACTGAAAGAATTTATGGCAATGCAAACCTTTTTGAACTTCTTATCACCCATACATGAATGGAACTCGCACTGCATCATATCGAAGAAAATCGGAAGAGGAAAGCTGGAAAAGGACATTTGCGCAAGAGATCACGAATCATCTGGAGCATCTTCAGAATAAAATCCATCTTGTCTATATCTTGGCCTAAAAGCTCTTTCATGAACAAATCGAACAGAGACATGCATCATTACCTAATCTCTATATAACTGCCGAAAAGTTGAGCGGACATTTTGTTGAGTAAAGCTAAGATGAGAGAGAAAAATCGGCCACGAATCTCGTCATTCTAGAAAAAATCAAAAGAAAAAGATTATGCTTGATTTCACACACTGAAAAACTCACGGAGGCATTCTGTTGGCCGATATGAACCATTGCTTGCACAAGCGGTCTATAGGTCGCATCTTGATAAGGTTCAGCTCTTCATCAGTTCCCAATTAATGCTGAGGAGGTGGCGTCTAAAAAAGCAAGTATGTTCTACAGATGCCGAAGTCGTCATGCCACAGCGCATACTTCGAACGAGAGCGAAAAGCGAGAAAAAAAGAGAGAAGCCCGAAAAACTGCACCACAAGATGAGATTTTAGCTCACAGATTTCAAAGACTCGCATCTCGCGGCTTTGTGTTTTGACAATTTTCGAGCACTACCGTAACCCAATATTTTTTGGCCACACTTCCCAGCATATGGTTCGCAAAAACCATATGTATCTCCTTCTGTAGAAGAAGGTTCGAGGGGAAGCAGCTACTACGGAGAGAGGAAGGATGGATCTATAGATTGACATGAAAAAGGCAGCTGTTTGAACGTTTTGAAGGTAAGTTAATGGCCTGCGGCACCCCCCCCCCCCTCAAAACCTGCGGCAGCCGCAGGTTTTGAGGGAGGGGGGGGGGGGGTGCCGCAGGCCATTAACTATATCAAAAAAACATTTTTAGCGGACAATATTTATATGAATCAATAGCCTAAACCTCGTAGATTCCATAGGGATGTTTTGAGCCTGATTCGTCTTCTTAGCTCTGAGTAATATTTGGTGAAAGCACAGCGATCAAAAGCTAAAAGCGATTTTGGTTGTTCTAATTCAATAGTTTGAAGGTCTTCTGAAGCGGGATTCCTGAGGTGGACAAAGAAGGAGTAGTGCTTTGTATTTAGTGCAAGAAAAGGTAGCTTACTCACCGTTAAGATGAAGTTAATCATGTTTAAAATTACTGCTTTATACAAGGTTGTTTACTGCTCGGAGACCTCAGAGTTCGCTGAAACTTGGCGATAGGGGTTATTCGACACGCGGATTACGACAATTATGCTTGATTAGAGGTACGGTAGGTTACGGTAGGCATACGGTATCTGCAAGTTTGTGTCGTTGAACTTGAACTGTAAAACTTAACTGCAGTCATTTCCCCTTAGAAACCGCTTTTGACCTTGGGTCGATACGACCCCTCCCCCTACCTAACCCCCTTACGACCCCCCCCCCCTGCGGCGTGCCGCACCCCCCGCTTTACCCTGGTAATCACTCCTAAGCTAGATTTCAGAGCTATTAAATGCCATAGCTTCTTCTAGAGAAGCTTATAGCAGATAAGAAAGGTAGATTTGGAATCAGCTAATCAAAATGCATCTGACATGCATATCATTTCGCATCGCCACTGCGACTGGTATCCTGCCCTTGTCAGCACACAGACCACTACTTATTTACACGATCCATTACAGCGCTGAATGAGGATTTCAGGTAATGGAAATTTGATTGAGAAATTGTACAAGGAATATGTATCTCGTGTATGTTGTTGAGCAAGCGACCAAGATAGTAACTTCTTTTTACTAACTTCGGCCAAAAATCCGACGCTATCTCCAACGCTCCAAAGTTTTGCTGTTCGTCAAAGCATAGAAAAGAATGCACGAAAATCTTTCTATTCAAATGTCAAGATCAAGAAGCAAAAGACTTGCTGGAAAACTAGGAAGAACAAAGTCACAGCCACGGATAACTAATACTTACCTTAGTTGAAGCATAATAGGGACAAAGGAGTACAAATATACAGCTTTGAATAGGGCAGATATACCTCTGCCCTATTTGAAGCGGTGACTTGACCTGGCCTCAAAACCTGCAGAGGGCTGATATGGAGTTCGATGGTTACTCAATGCATTCTTTTTTCCGGTCCATTTTGCATTTCCAGAGCTGATCCAAATCGCCTCCAATGTTTTGACTTCCGGTTCGTACGACCGAATCGAGCCCCAACTTATAATGTTTGCTCCATGAAAGCGGTCGCCCAAATAGGTTGTACGCATGCAAGACTGACGCCCACGCGGCGCGCGGGCAATTGTCAACCACGGGGTGCGCACGCTTCTGTGGAAACCATCGCAATTGCCCGCGCCGCGTGCGCGTCAGTTTTGCATGCTTGTAACCTATTTGGGCGACCGCCTTCGTCATGGAACAGATACCATTTTATCTCATCTCGATGTAACCTATACTAGCGAGCGGTGTGCTGGCTTTTGACTTGTTTAGTCCATCTGAGTGTTCCTTGACGAGGCAGCAAAGCGGGGCGCAGTGGGCCCAGTTTCGCCTATGTACGTATCGCCACATGATAAACATGCGATGATGTACCATAATGATGTACCACGCCTGCCGCCCAAAAACCAGCACATAAGGAAAGCAGATGCAGCAGATTTACAAACAGCGTTTTTCGCTCGTCAAAGAGTTCACATCACATCTCAATAGGCCACTTCGATTAACCTTCCTTTTCTTGTAAGTAATACACCGTAAGCAAAAATTATATTTATCTGTGAAATATGCCTGCCATGCACATAACGTATCCAAACTAGCACCTCTATGTATCAGAAGATGCGTCTCGTCGAGCCGAATAGAATGGTGCCACTGGATCCGAATTTTCCAATCTGAAGGCTATGGTGATGTCACCTAACTCAGGTAATCGACGCGTGCTCCTTTGCAGGATTTCAAAGGCACCGTCCACCTTAAATTGAGGGTCTTGAGCTTTTGGCATTATATGATAGTAGGTCCCTCTATCAATCCAATGCCCAAGTCGCGGCTCAAGATGTGCCTTGGAAGCGAGAAAATCGCTCCGGAATAACGAAGACGCACAAGGACCCCCAGAGGCACCGCCCTCCCATCCATGCCCGTCCATCTCCGTACGAGCCCATCCACTTACCGTCCCGGAAAGTCGGCCTGTAGGTTCTTCGGAACGGGGATTGTTGGGGTTTTCGCCAATCTTCGGCTTCATATTCGGAATCAGGGACAAGAGAAAGGCTCTGAAACGATGAAAACCTGAAAGTCGAAAATCTGGGTGGAGGTGCCTTTATGCGATATTGTATGTCTTTAGATATCATTGGTTTTTGGATGGAGAGATATCAAAAATCGGACAAAAAAAGAAGCAACAGTTTTAGATTCCAAGCTTTTTGTTCCTGTAATTGAAAACGGAATACATTTTACAACAAATGCATGCATGAATTTTGCATAACGATATGGGAGTTTCGTGGGATTTTAGAACTTAGATCCAATTCCAAGCGTGATTAAGCTTTTTTGGTTTTGGTAAACTGATTATGCGGCTGTGCTCTAAAATAGTATTTGTGTTGCCAAGAAAAACTAGATGGACCGAAACCCTGAGATGGGATGGGAGAGAACGTAGTACTACAGATATAAATTACGGAAGAAAAACTACGAGCAGAAGGAAAGTTATCTAACTCTATCTAGATCTTCTGCTCACCCAGTCACTCAAATGCACCTGCTGTAGCAAAAGCGTACTTTCGATTTCTTAGTGACACATGCACAGTTAAACATCAGAGGTCACAATGTTTACAGCAAAAGGACGTCTCAAGGTCAGGAAAACTAACAGAACTTCTCCTTTCCGTCCTAAAAACCGCACTTTCGGGTGCAATCAGAGGACATCGCATGACGAGCGTACCGCACAAAAATATTCGAATCACTTCGTAACCAAGTGCTCTACAACTCGCGACCTTTACGCAAATCGTGTAGTATTGATCCAGTTCCTTTCTTCTGCTCTCGCCTCCGTCTTTTCAAACTTTCCAATGGTTTTTATCCTTTTCCACCCTGCGCTCTTTTTCATGGCAGCATAATCACGCAATTTTCGCATGTTACACAAAGCTTAATGTCATGAGCTTCTTCAGCTACGCATAAGCTAAATATAAGCCTTCAGTATCTGGTCATTTGAGTACTTCTCCCAAGAAAATCAACATCAAGCTAATTTCAAAAGAATTTGCTAATCATTGACATAGAGAGACTTTATTACATTTTTCTTCATCAGTTTGGAAAGCGCAAGGGGAACTTCCGGAATTAAAACTTCAACAAAAACAAATGGCTGCTATCATGAGTAAATTTCCAATTGCCATTTATAATACCACACACCCGCTCATGCAGAATAATTGTTCTTTGCGATTTTTAGCTGTCAGAGTTTCTTCTCTGAATCGATGCCTTCAATGTTGGCAAGAGATAAGAATGACCTAAGATCATCTAAAATAACAGGAAGTGTAGGTCAGGAGTGCAATGTCTTGGCACTTTCAAATATTTCGTTTTAGTCATCGAAAGGGTGTTTTTGTATTGAACAATAGCTACCCTCTTAGATAACTGGAGTGGATTTCATATTTTCTAACTTTGTTCTGTCTGCCTACGTTATTGATAAGAATACGGGGGAGGAAGTACAACAGTGATACACTTGTGCGATTGAATTTTCGCAAAGTGGTATACCTTTTGTGAATTCCAGTAATCCTCCTTGATTTATTAGCGATAGACACATTTTTCTAGCAGCAAGATGATTTTGGTTGTTTTGACGATTTTTGGACGTGTGACAGACAAAATCATGTACGGGTGTATGTATCAGGGGAAGGAGTGACTCAAAAGAATCAAATGATCAATTCTCTCCAAGCAAAAGTTGATTTTTGGTGACGAAATGGTGCAAAAAGTGGGTTGACGGATTTTCTCTATTTTTGAAAAAGCCTGCTTTTCAAAATGAATTGGAGTAGGATGTGAAATCTGATAGCTCACATTTGATTTTAATTTTTCCAACTTTCTGCAGTCGAGAACGGTCACTCAGGCTCAAGCAATCTCAACCCTCCAAAAATTGACTGAAGATTTGGAATGCCAGAAATTTGTTTACATTAACAGTTCATTGATTCTATACCACATTTTTTTATGGAAACGTAATAAGTACAAAGATTGTATGTACTTATTAACAGGATTAATCATTTACCCATTAGTGCACTTACTAGAGCATGAAAAAGAAGCTTGAATTATAGAAAAAGCGAGTTGTGATGCATATATAATTGTCAGCCATATTTGATTGTCTTTAATTGCTAATGAATTTTTTCAGTATTTGTTTTGTGAGGAAGAGTACTAAAGCTGCCTTCCTGGAAAAAACTTTGCACAATAAGATCTTGACCATATATAACTTTTTGAGAATCAATTAGAATTTTGTAATGCATGTCAAAAAATCGTTTTCCGCTCCTACATCTCAGCTCATAATTCTTGGTTTCACGTGTTTGCATGTAAATCAGTATTTTGCAGGCTTGTTTCAAAGAGCAGTCTGTATATTTAGTCATGAGGAATGCTTTAATATTGCGACAGGTGCGCGAAACTTTCATCTTCTAAAGATCAAAGGTCCAACCGATGAATGACCCCATTCAATGCCTTATTTTAGCTGGTCGAATATGCCTCGTCGACTTACACATATATACTGGGATGTGCTTCTACTAGAAAAGCTGTAATCATCGATCCAGTACTGGAAACGGCACATAGAGATGCTCAAGTCAGGTTTTACTTTTGCTTTGGAGTGATTGACTCTAATCAGACATGCGCTCGAGAAAAGAGCAGCTGACTTTTAAATCCTTCCCAACTCGTTGGTTTTTTGGTCGTTAACTCATTTGTTTACAGATCATCCGAGATCTAGATCTAGACCTAATATATGGACTCAATACACATGTTCATGCTGATCATGTCACTGGCACCGGAGTGCTCAAAACGGTTCGTTGAATAGCACACAAATCCCAAAGTATAAAAGAATAAATCTCTCTAGGCTTTTCCCTCTATGAAATCCGTGCTCGCTGCCAGTTCTGGCGGAAAAGCTGACCATTACGTTAAAGATGGCGATAAAATCAAGTTCGGTCATCAGCAACTCGAAGTATTATCGACACCTGGTCATACGGATGGTAAGAGAGCTTGTCAGCTGTTATCATGGTTAAGTTCACTGCATAGAACAGACCATTGGACTTAGAGCGGTCTCAAAAACGAAGGGGAGGGAGAGGAGGAAGGCGAGGTGTGTGTGTGTGCGAAAGTCCGTTTCTGTACATAATCAGCGTTAAATTTCTTCCACAAATTTATAGTCTGTCAATTACGTGCTCTTTTTCGCATGAGAACTACGTATGCGCAACGCAAGCTCCAATCGATCAGACCAATGACCATAATCAGCCATACGCGCGCAAACGTACGTAGCGCGAAGCTAATTGCGCTTACGAAAAAGGGAGCACGTGACTGACACGGACTGTAAAGGCTACTGCATGACGAAGGCACAGAAGCAGTGTTGGTTGAGCGGGCGCGAACGAGACGCGCGCGTATCCTCACCGTTGTAGTTCCTGCGCCTCATGCACTCTGCGGCTAATAAAGCCGCGTTCACGCCCGAAGATATTGCGCCTTCGTCATGCAGCGGCCTATACAATCATCAACATTGGTTTCACAAAAAAGTATAACCCATATGTCCTCAGATAAATCTTATGAAGAATTGTGATGGACAATCCCTTGCAGTTATATGATTAGCTCTACCCAAATTCACATGTCATGAATAACCAAGTTTTTATGCTTTTCTTTGTGGAATGGGCCCCTGATCATTCAGAAAATGATGGTGCTCTTATTGCAGGTTGTATAAGCTATGTTTCGCATGCCCACCGCATGGTTTTCACCGGAGACTCATTACTTATTCGCGGTTGTGGAAGAACGGATTTCCAGCAAGGTAGGTGGCTCTAGCTTTGGCTCGCATAAACGCTCGCTTCTTATTCATTCAATGCAAAAATTAAATTTAGACGAATAGTTTTTGTCTGATTCGAAGGAGTGAAATTCCAAGTTCTTCAATTTTAGGAGATCCACGAAAGCTCTACCGGTCTATTTGGGACAAGATTTTTACCTTACCTGATGATTTCATAGTTTATGTCGGGCACAACTATGAAGGAATCTTACAGACATCGGTAGAGAACTTAAAACATCTATGGATATGATGTTTGAGATTGATTAGTTCAGATAGGTGAGGAGAAGAGGTTGAATCCGCGACTGACAAAGAATGAAGAAGAGTTTGTGAAAATTATGCAGAATCTTAAATTGGCTCATCCGAAGCAAATAGGTAAGCGATATTTTTTAACACATCGCAGAATTTCAATTTCCATTTCAGAACGTGCCGTACCAGCTAATCTAAAAGATGGGGAGATTTGAGCTGACATCTATACGACTCTATACGACTTGTTAACACAGCATTTCCAAGCTTCTCATCAAAATGCTCATATTTATTCATAATTAACATTACTCAAATGAACAGCACAATCTTGTAAATTAATTAAATAATTAAGTCAACAAAATTGTCACACAACAACAGACTACTTCTACGCTGAACTGTCTGCGGAAAGACTAGGTGAATTAATGTTAAATACAGAAGTGAAAGATGTGGGACACCGAAAGAAAGGAATCTTGCTGTGCTTGAACTCATGGCAGTAAAGCACACAGCGGTCGTAAGTGATAGATTATAAAGATTATCGCTCTAGTTGAGCTATATGCTTTGAAGTGAACCTGTAGGTTGTGGAAGGCACTAGCAATTTCTCGAATATCCAAGTGGAAATGTTAGATATGTGTGACTCCGAATACTCATGAGCGGGATAGAAGTCTCTTATAACTATGATCACTACACGAATGATTGGAATGCTAGACCTGATATCTGGCTGCACCTGGACGGACTCGCTCGCTACAACGGATATGAGCCCTGCTCCAGTTCATGGAGAATCTCTTCGTTGAGGGGTTGATAATTTCGCAACTTTACGTTGTATATATAGACTTTGTTTCCGGGTATGTTCAGCTTGTATCCTAGCCGTTGTAGATTTGTTTTCACCAGCTTGAATGTTCCTGAAATTATCACTTCAAAAAGTCACTTTAGCGTCAGACAGGAACAACTGCACTGTCAGAGCTCGGCTGCGCCTCTACCATTCTCCTTTTCAGTTCGTCACCCTGCTTACTGAGAAGGGACATAACTTCATATAAAGATTCTATCTACTAAACCTAATCCCCTAAAATATATCGTGCCAATCAAATTTTAGCATTTTGCACCGTCTTCTTGTTAGGCAGTTTAGTCGCCTCCTTTCGGCGACAAAAATACCCAAAGGCAGCGCCCATCTAGATTTTCAGCATCCAGATTTTCGCCGGACGCTGCCTTTGATAAAGGTACCAGATTTGATCATTAGTTTGAGATGAATTAAAAAACTAATTATTTGTTAAACAAAAAAAATGAGAATAAGTCGTTCGATTTTGGAGGATTTTATATTAAGATAATCACCAGAAATGTTGGGAGAAATCGTCTAATACGAATATTGGAAACTGGAATTACGAACAGTGAGCTAGGGTGAGCATTTACATACATTTCATTCAAAAACCTGAATTTGTATATTGTGCCTTACGGCTTGGTTGAAAAATTCTAAAGTTTGTCCTACCACAATACGACATGAATACAAATCGATTTGTTGTGACTTTACAGCTTGATACCATCAAGGCACATACCTGTCCTGTCCACATCCTGACATAGCCGAATGAACTGAGGCAGGGCATAGGGTGCCAAGCTGGCGGCAAGACGTGCACCTAGCCGTTCGATGAATTCATCATCGTCTTCAGCAGAGTCATCATTAGTGCGTACGACGGCAGCCATTCCAGCGCGGCCTTCTCTGTCTAATAAAAAATTTATGAGTAAAGTAGAACAAGCTGACACGAGCATCTCACCAGGCACGGATACTCCGTAGACAGTGGCGTCAGCTACACCTTTTTCTGGATGCAGTATTGCTTCCACCTCTGTGGTGCTGACGTTCTCACCCTTCCATCGGAATGTGTCCCCAGTGCGATCTTTGAAGTACACATAGCCTAGCCGATCCCAGTATAGTAAGTCGCCTGGAAAACGTGGTTTGACACTAGGATGTTTGAGGTAGAAAAGACTGATGTAGTCCTTAATCTCTGATGGGTTTGTGGCTTTTGCGAACTCTTTGATTTGTGAAGACCAAATAAACATGCCAAAAAAGATGGTTGCGCTCTCATGAGATAAGTGAAAAAATAAAAACTATACAGGGGATCCCAAAAATGTATCGAACGTTGAATCTTTGATAATTTTTTCAATGAAAAGCTTTCGCGGATTTTTGGGTGCCATACGGTAGGGCTAGCTTACCTTAGATTTGCAGCATAGAGCGAATTACCGATTTTTTAGTTACTGTAGGATTACGGTAGAGATTCTCGACTAATTTAGAAACTGATAGAAATAGAAATAGAAATAGACTGATAGAAATTTTCGACTAATTTAGAAATTAATAGAAGTGGAAATATATCAATAGAAACTAATTAGACTGGGCAGACAGTGAATGAAATAAACGTCAAATCTTACTCTGGCGCATGTGAAATTGTTGAGAAGTACCGTATCATTTGCTTACCAGAAACAAAACAGCTATCACCCTTGGCAAAGACATCTCTTATAATCTTCTTATTTGTCTCCGATTTGTTGAGGTAACCTTCGAACTGCAGCAGTGGATTATTTTTCCGAATTGTCGACACCATAGCTCCACTTTCACCTGAATCCATAGCAAATTTTCCTGTCCTTTCTTTGATCTAATGATATCCTCACCTGGATTACAGGCTATACATAACCCGGACTTTGACCGAATCACATCACCAGTTCGATCATCCACTCGAATCAGACGAACTGGGTGCATCTTTTTGGTAAGGGGCGAAATCGGGAGAAAGCCACAAGCTCCCACGTGACCATCGATGTTTACTAAAACGTAGATTGTTTAATATCAAGCCGAACAATATATGAATGCAGGCTACCAAGATTTGATGTTCCTTCGGTCGATCCATAAACTTCTCCAATTCTTACTCGGAACCTATCTACAAATGGCTGCCATATCTCTGCTCGAAGTCCGTTCCCATACAGTAATCTCATGTTGTGCATAGATTCTTCGGGAACCACTGGTTGCGCAAGAAGATAGCGACAGATTTCTCCGATGTATTGGGAAGCCTGGAAATCGCTTTGTAAGAATTATAAAAATAGTTTTGTAGTTATGCGCACTGGATCTATAATGTGCTAGATTTGCAAGTTATTTGAAAAATCTTCACAGATGGTCAAGTGCGACGATGAAGCGTTCGCAAGTCTGACTTCATTTGATATTAAGAAATTATTCACCAAAAGTTATAGAAGTCAGTTAAAATGGTTCGCAAAGGATAATCATCAAAGTCACCTACTGTGCAATTGTATTTCACACAGTCCTTCCAGAAATTGCTGGCTGAAAATTTCTTCCTGATAACGCAGCAGGACCCTCGACATAAGGCTTGTCCGATTCCTGAATAAGAGTTGTTTTTGAGACAATTGGGTTACGCTGGAACGGGAATAAACTGCCAAGCGGGGAGTTTTTTGTGCAAATGCATTTTCTTTTCAATAAAAAAGGAAAGTACGGGGTCATCAGCAAAAACTAGATAGCATAGTATCTCATCATTTCTTTACGATTAATGGCTGGGTTTGGGTTATGTGGCTCAAGCGAAACGAAGAAATCGATCAAGAAATCAACTTTATTATGTCATTTGGATCGTTCGCTTCTTCCTGCAGAAGTTCAGACATACGGAAACTAACAAAGATTGGCAAAAGCCTCGAACAGCCAGAGTCTTACCTAGAATACCGGCTGCTGTATGGTAGATAGGCATCGATACGTAAATTCTATCCGACGGATAGATTCCAAACGACTTTGCTGCTCCCATAACCATCGAATAGTACCTAAATGATTCAGCATTAGAAGCTATGACCCCTGCTTTGCAATGTTTTGAAGATCACCTAAAGTGTTTCATCACAGCGGCTTTTGGGAGTCCAGTCGTTCCGCTTGTGTAGATGTAGCACAAGATACCTAAAAATCAACTTTTCACAACACTACACAAGGAGCGTAACTGAAAACATTATGCAAAACTGTATAGCAATATTGAAGCAAAGCTGAAAAAGAACACGAACTTTTAAAGTCAACATTATCGAGTCTTCGCGGCTCCACTGTTCGCTGCGTTTTGAGCTTCTCAGTGAGCAACATAAATCGCTGACTTTCTTCCGTTTGTCCGATGACGTACAGATCTGTGCCATCGATCTTGAGTAGTTCAGTTTCTATCGTTTCTTCCAGTGCTAAATTCAGCAGATTCGTCTTTTTGGAAAGAGAGTATATAATTTGCTACATCGTAATCGCCTACACCCAAATTTTCTCCACTATATTTGTGTAAATCTGCCAGCGATACATAGTGAAGGTTTTTTGTAATAGATAGTTGTTAATTAATGATTATCAGCACGCAATGACAAAGATATTTTTGCAGCTAAATGCGTTTGTATCGAATCACCAATAGTCGACCAGTGCCGCGAGTACCCTGTAAGCTTATGGAGGAGAAAAAATATGTTAAAGTGATAAAAGTTCAAAAAATTCCATCGCAATGCAAGAATCGCGATATCAGCTTTTTTTACCACTAAAGGAAATTCGGGTCAGCAGGGTTGTTTGGCTCTCTGGCCACTACTTGCTTTTTTTCCGGGGTTAAAAGGAACTAGTTCAAGGAATGCAGGCATGCATAATACCGTACCCATAACCCCGAAATTAGAAAAAGGCACGGCGGTTCTTACGTAGCGCAAAAATTCCATACTATCCTGTGATCTATCGATCCACGGTTGTCACCTTCTTGCAATTGATTGGGGTAGGCATTGTAAACATTCGAAAACATTTGATAAACTTTTTTGATCTCCATCAATGTATTCTGCTTGTATTTCATATCTGCTTAGCGCCTTTGTAGACGAAGCTATGAGCAGTTAGACTGCGAAAATCGTACATAAAAAGCTGCGAAATTCGACACAGCAAAAAAATTACATGTGCAAATAGGACAAAAATTGCCGTAATACTTTTCTAGCGCTATAATTTTGCAGTGATGATTATCAGAGCAACTTATCCAATGAATACTTTAAATAAAAAGATGTATCACGCTTGGGTGCTTTATCTAATGAAAAATTCTAGCAACTCATTTTACCCCAACTTCGCATTAAATTTTTTGCTAAAATGAACGCTTATAACTCCTCGGCCATAAACGTTCCTTGAATAAAAAAGAAAATATGGAATTAGCGGTTTAGGCTCTCTAATATGGTATACATCCCATCCAGGGCTCGGCACAGCTGGCACCGGGTCAAGCTGGATATCGTTTTTCCGGGGTCTGGGGCGGAGAAATGCCGCAAGAATGCCGCCGGCATGCCACCAGCATGCTGTCCATCAACAAACAAAGGCGTTTTTTCAGCCGAAACGCAATAGTATGACACCAAATTTCGTGTGTGCATGCGCGTTGTTAGACCCGAGCTATGGCCCAAGAATTTATGAAAACTTAGGTGAATGAAAGCTTTGTGAACTTTTTTCTGAATTAGCTGGCACCGTGCCAGCTGGGTGCCAGCTGAGCTGGCCCCGACACTTTGCTCACATAAGTTTTCATACTTTTTTACATAAAATGTATCTACACTGTAAAAGTTTACATACAAAGAAGAAGCAATTTCATAATGTTTTCTTTTCAGCGTTTTATAGCAATCTGAAAATTACTGGGTCTGCTCCGCAGTCGAAAAATCGACTTTTTTGCTTCTCATGATGTGATTTAACCACTTAAAAAGCTCAGAAAGCTGTGAAAAGTTGTTCCATGAAATCAGCATGCATGAAAACCTTACTACATACTTTTGCATAATCTAAAAATAATGACGGGTCTTCAAAACAGGTCAAAGGGGACTTCGTACGAAATTTTCTATATCAAACGGTACTTCGTTTTGAAATTTCCCTGGTGCCAGCTCGTGCCGAGCCCTGATCCCATCTGAGAAGGCCACGTCGAATAAACATGGTTCCCTTGTCAGTTTCTGCTTATTTGGAGAACTTCAATCTATGCAACATGGGCACTAGCCTACAAACACCACAGAACAAGAATTTTGTTCTCCTTCTCAAGATTTGGAAAGAAAGCCCCCTTTTCGAAACTTACCTTGCTGAAGAAGGCGAGTGGTGATGATGGCCTTGGCGCGGCTCGTTTGGATACAATGGGCCAGAGGTTCGCGCTTGAGGTTCGAGTTGATCCAGGCCGTCGCCACGCCAATCTTAGCTAATCCCATCCAGGCGGCGACGAAATCCACAGAATTCTCCATGAAAAGCGCCACCACATCTCCGGCACGGAAGCCTTGACCCTGAAACGTCACCGATTATTTTCTGGAGAGAGGCGCTAAGACGGCAAACAGCGAAACCTGGAAAAAATTAGCATATCGATTGCATTCCTTGTTGAAGGTCGCGAAAGTGAACGTGCGTCCGGTCTCGATGTCGATCATTGCTGTTTTATGGTGATTTCTGAAACGAACTGGATAGTGGGATGAAGGCAGAAAGATATTCAGGTCGTTACTCAAAATTTATTACACTTGCTTCTTTTTCCTTTGAAGATTTGTAGAAACTTCGTTAAAGCCTCATATTTGGCCTTATGAGGAAGAGGACGCTGTCCATTGTCATCATTTTCATCATTACATGAGTTACAGTAACATTTACAGTAAGAGCAAACAATTCAACTCTAATTCAAATTCCTTTCTATTAACTTATAAAAAATAGTTTTTCTTTTTCACCTTCTCAGGTTTTTCATCGACGTCCGATAGCATCAGGTGCTAATAGGAAGGCAAATCAAAACTTCACGATCTTCAATAAAGCAAGGGAAATTGCCGGGAATAATTCGAATCTCCAAAAAAATTGAAAAAAATGAATTTTTCATGTGAAGTGTATGTAAAGCTCCACTTGATTTCAATAGAGGCAGAATTTGTCGATTTTTATAATCGTGTAACAAAATTTGAGTACGACTCAGTAGATGAACAAAGCCACTCACTTCTTCACCACCTCGAGGAAAATCTCGTGTAGTCCGCGATTTTCCCGTAATTTCTTCCATAGATCGAATTTTATGTCCAAAATCAAGTATAGACCGCTAGAAAGAATTGACTCATTATTTAAGCCAGAAAATTTTCTACTGCTCACCTTAAGTCACGGTTTAACGTCAAATAGGAACGATATATGAAATCTCCATATACGATCGCAATATATACAGATAGCACGATGCCTAATACAACTCCAATGGAGAGATTCTTGAAGAATATCGCCGTCACGATCAGGATCAGCGTCACCAGTTCTTCAAGCTTCAAACTCGGCAATAAGCTGGAAATAATGTATATGAGTATGAGGATGATGTCATATTTAAGAAAGAATTGTTGAGAGATAAGAAAGGCGAAAGATAGTGGAGCAAGCCAAAATGGGACTAAGAATAAAAGTTCAAATTCGACTGTTTCCTTCAGCTTAATTGGCGACTATGACAGAAACGTCAAATTCGTTAACAAGCATATCATCTGCGAGTGGAAGTATGCTTATACATCCTTTCTCTCATTTTGTGCTTCTTCTTTTTCTCCAGCAGCATCAATGAACGTTTTACTGACTGATATCCTTTGTGCTAACATCAATCACCTCTTATCATAATTTCTAAAAAATTATTTCGAGCTCAGACAAAAAGGTTTTCAACGACCAAACGTTCGATATATTTTTTAGGGACACCTTGTATGAATTCGAAGCTCTTGTATGAGAATCTTCTTTCATTAGATAAAAATGCACAACAATCGTGAATTCAGAACTTCATTTTTCTTGATACGCACAATCTAATATAAATCTTCGTTAAAGTTCTAACAATAAGAAAAAAATGGCACGAAAAAGGCAAATACTCAAAAGAAGAGATGAATGTGCCGCACGCGATGGAACGCTGCTACCCGATACCGAAAAATTAGAAGACCAATGAAGTTTATCTGCTCTTTCACTATTCAAAAATTGTTTTCACTTTAATGCGCTCGTATTATGTGCCAAAGTTTTGTTCAACATTGTAACAATTCGTGGAGTTTCATAGCATGAAAAAAACTCCAGCAAACTGGTATTTGGAATGTGTCAATTATTACACTGATGATCAAACAACCGCAGAATCCGCCTAACTTCTGACGTCAACTTTTTTCCGCAGTCATTTCCTTTAATGTACGCACGATGGCTCCTTTCAGCCTGATCATATAATTTTCAAAAAAGTTACAAAATTTAATGAGTTAATTCACTGCTGGAAAGAATAATTACACCGCTGTGAGAATGACACATTCTGCGCGTTACAGGCGAGTATAACTATGCGTCTATTGCAAAAATTGCTACGCTAAATAAAATGACATCACAAAACGGCATTTCGACGACTCAAGAGATCAGAAGTTGGATTATTCAGTGAGCACGCTAGACACAATTTTTGGAGGATTTGTCTCTTCTGGGCATTATTTTCAGCCGAAAGCAAGTTTCAAGAATAAAGTATTATGTGCCTTTTCCAGCGTATGTTCCACAGATTGCTTTCAGTCTCAGTTAGCAAAATTCAAAAAAAAATCAAGAGTGTTACTTTCGCAAGCGTTTGGTACGTATGGAACAGTTCGTGTTTAACTTGTCGACAAGTGATTTTTATTAGAATTTCAAAGTGTACAACAAAGATTCCAATTATGGTCTCAGTGACTAAGTGCAGGGCTTTTACTTTTCGAAAAATAATTCAATTTTAGATGTAAAAAAGTCCTTTGTGTAAGATTAAATCAGTAAGCTACTTTCAAAAGTTTTGCGATCCTGGAGGGGGGGGGGGTGGGAGAGAGAGAGAGAGCGGGCTTTTGACTTCTAGCAAGAGGACAGATCAAAACGTTAAGCTACTCTTGTAATTACATTCAATCGTCATTGCTGCAGACCGATTAACCCAAAATGGTGATAGGCAGAGATTATATGGCCATGAACCGTGGAACTCAAAAGAATTAGTTTAGTCTACTTTGAAGACACCGTCTCGTCACTGTTTCAATGTGAACGGTGTCGCAGAAAAATAATTCTCAACTTTTTAAAGTAATGCTTTGCTAGATCTTTGACTTCGATATTATTTTCACTTCTCATCCCTCCGAAATACTAATCATTATGCTTCAAAGCTTGTAAATACCAAAATGTTACAGTGAATGCGAAATGGGCGTGTTTCGGATTAGCTCCTCATAAAATGTGACTGGATGATGGTACCAATCAACAAGTCGCCCTGATGGGCGGAGATATTTGGGACCGCCTTTCTGGACGCACCATTTGAACGCTACCCGGACGAGACCCTACCACGCCCATTCTTCATTTCCCCAACTCTGCAGGCTTTAATACACAGTGCTCAGGGCATCTACAAGGTCTACAAGGCTCAGAATTGACCAAAACGCAACGAGCAACTACACAAATAATGCTTTCTTGCGATGTGAAACAAACTGTTTAGCGGGCGCAAGGCCTGAAAAGAGCGAAAAATGAAATTCCGAATATATATATATGGGACCCTGTCTTCAAAAGTTGTAGAATGGTCGAGATTTCGCAGTCTGCAAGAGCACGTGTCTCAAAGGAAAGAGCGAGACTGCAGCCAGATGGATAAAAAGAAGGCAAAGACTCTCTACGGAGCAAATGAGTCTTGACCAATGAAACTCGGGCAAAAAGCACTCACTTGGCTGATTTCTCGAGAATACCAACATCGCCGGCGCAACGACGGGAACGGGGCGCTGGCGAGGCGGCCAGGGTCGCCATGCCACAAGGGACGAGCCACCTCGGATCAGCGGTGGCGGACGAGTTCGGCGTCTCCGGCGTGGACTCAGCTGAGCTCGGGAGCCGTCACAAGCACCAGAGAAGTTGCAACGCTCGGCCGCTTTCCTACGCACTTGACAAGGCGTCGAGACCTGGAAAACTTTCGATTTCGGCTGATCGAGAGCGAATCTGGGGCGAGAGCGATCAGCAGCGATCTGACCGCAACTTGCCGACTAGCACTAGGAAGTGAGATTCAACCGCGCATCATTAGTGCAGCCGAAAAAGTGAAAGCCGATCAAAGTGCACGCTCTCATAGCAAAGAGACATAAAAATTACGAGTTGTATTCGAGGAAGGACTGGATGAGACATGCATCATACGAAAGATTGCGTTGATCAAAGTATTTTGAGTGTAACTAGATGCTGCAAACTGTCAATCTCTGTAGTGTCCCTTTACTATCGGACTTCGTGCTTTATACATTAAATCGTTTTGGTGCACTTATGAGATAATAGTCGTAAACATGGTATACCAAGGTTATATTTAACGCCTTTTTTCCATGGTTGAACAACAATTAACTGATTTATTTTTACACATTAGGCCTCTCCAGCTCCAACAAACGCTCTTTGATGCAAATCAGAGAGCATTTCTTGCGCTTGTTGGAAATACTAGGCTGGCACATAAGTTTTGCAATTTTTCCCATAACTTTCTTCTTATTCAGTTTAGCATCCTCAATATCTGGCATCACGTAGAATGTGGCGTAAGTTGCAAGTCTGCGCAAACCGTTTGATTACTGATAACGTAGTCAGAAAAATTTCAACATTTTTCGAAAACTGTTGAAAATCGAGGTTTCACGGTTTTTTGGCAAAAATAAAGCCGTACAAAACCTATATCATACATCTCACAAAGGAATTATAGGCAGCATGTAGCTAGAAGTCGACACATTAGAATCAGCAAAAAGTGGAAATCAGAAGCTGCGAAACCTGAGAATTCGCTAAAACTTAGCACAATAGGACAATCTAATACGGGTGAGACGAATATTATATTCATTTGCCACTATAATGTTTATGTCGCTATAATTTTTGAGCTCAACTTATTAATTTTGTTTGAATAATTTTTTTTGACTTGAGTAGCGAAGACAACGTCTACTATATGCTGAAAAAATATCCGGTTATATCAAAGTTCCGATATATCAAAATCTCGACAAGTTCTCTATGCATTTATAATACGAGTTCTTAATAATTTTCGGTACAAGGTCTATGTATGAACAGGAGAAAGAATAAAAAATTCAAGGCGGAAAAATGGGCTGCGCAAAGAAGAAGTTTGCAAGAGATGTAAAATGCAGTTGCCAAGAGATATTTTCGGTGGTTATCAAAACCGAGTAACACACAAAAAATATCTTCTTTGCATAGAGCCTGCGAAATTCTTGTTAGCTGAATGCGTATGCTGAGGAATACCAGCGAACCAGATTTGAGTAAATTCTGATCATTGTCGGAATTAGAAAAGGGCAGAATTGATGAAATCTGAACAGAATGGTTTTTTCTATGACTTCGAAGAACGCATTAGAATGATCGCTTTGCCAAGGACAATGCTGAGCAGCGTTATGTCGGCGTTAGTTCGATGGCACGACCTCGAAGGATCTTTAGGGAATTGCACGTTGTTTTGCAATGATTTATAGGGTGATTGACGTACGAAGAATGGATTGTCCATAAAAATAATGTGTCAGTTGAGTATCCTGTTCAAAGTGGGAACAAAAGATATTTACCGCCGAAAAAAGTGGTGATAAATATGGAAGCAGTGCAAGCAGATAACGTATTCCCAAATGCCATCATAAGAAGAGACAGGAGCATGCGAAAAATAATTACAAGCAGATGCAGCTGATAGATAGCAAAGTTATTTATAAATTTCATTGCATATAATGCTTTTTGACTATAAAATTGTTTCAAGTTCAAAATCGATGGTCCTGCACTCTTCAAAAATTATTTGTCTTCAGCTGACGCTATCATTACTTGCTACAGTCTACTATGATAAGGGTATTGGAAAATCCGAAATAAGAGCTTAGGACAAAATTTTGCAAATTTTTGGTTAGAAGTAATCCCGAAGAAAAGAATGTTAGAATGGAAAGAAGGATGTTTAGGGTCTTAAATCTAAATTTTGAGTCCCAATGCTTGCAATTATCAGTCACATCAGAATGATTCAACAATCTACCGAGAGGGGATCATACAGTGTTCCAAAAAAAGTGAACACTGTTGATAACTCCCTTGCTTTCACGTCTTTCGCTAGGCATGAGGAGCTATTCTTTAGGGCGAGGTTCAACTTACATAAACACTATGAAGAGAATCAGTCGATCTTCATTACTGTAGAATTAAGGTAAGAATTTCGACGAGAATTCTAGGCCGTTGGCCATATTCTGCCTCGGAAAAAACCAATCGAATCACAATCTCTTATACTATGCTAATGAAAGCCGCTGGTTTCAAATACGAAATTTCCATTTTACTGTGATGCTTCTTCAAAAAGTTATCCCAGGTGAACGGTAATAAGTGGATTCCCAGCATTTGTCGGAAATGTGATTACACCGTCAAAAAAGCTGAGAACACTCGTAAAAAGTTGTGCAGCGGAATCAGCATGCGCAAACATCCCAGCACTCGAATTTCCAGATTTTTTTGAAAAAAAAATTTTGTCATATGGCATATTTCACAATAGTTCCACATGCCGTAACCCTACAGTAACTAGAAGCGATCGGTGATTCGCTTCAGACTGTGTATCTAACAATAAGTTGAAAGTCGCTCTACAGAATGGCATCTCATGCTCGGCGAAAGGCACGAAAGCAAAGGAGTTATCAACACCAAACATTCACATTTTTTGGGACCCATGAATAATGGTCCAAAATCAAAAAACTTGTTGTTTCTTTCCAGCTGGGAAAATAGGTATGTCACGGTGTCACGGTGTCAAGGTTTCTAAAATTGAATGGCAATGGTAACAAAACAATGTACAGGTAAATTCAATCAAAGCTACGAGCTGGAAGATTTGAAGTTCTAAAGCTACAGATTAACTTTTCTTCATCAATGAAGTACTCAACAAGAACGTCATCAAACTAGTTACAACTGCAGCCGTGCAAGTGTTTGCTCTATTGCATATTTGGAAGAAGGGGTACGCCTCACTGCTAGTGAGACACAACTAGTTCCACGGCAACAGCTATAAATGCTGTTTTTGTTTTGTAAAATTACACTCAACTTTAAATTGCATGCGTAAATAATGTGACGATAATAACGTCCCGAAGTCGCTTTTTGCAAGAACTGCAGAGTAAAAACAACACGGAAGTTCGCACATAAAACAGCTTAGGTAATCAAAGTAATAAAGTAGCTCTCCAGGTAAACAAAAGCATATAAAACTTGTCTTGTGACGAATCTTTACAGAAAATCAGGAATGAATCTGCAAAAAATTTAGCTGCTGAGCACTTAAAAAATGAATCTGTACTTACAAGCTGACCTTTAGTTCAGCAATATACAGATTGCATTTCTTCCAATGATAGCGATCGCTCTATCCCAGCGATCTTTCCACAGGTAGCAAAGCTCCGCATATCTTTCGCACATTTGCGCTTTTGGTACATTTTCCTCGATGCCTTTGAGCCGCAAATGGGATGCTTTGCGGTGGTGCCTTTTTGGAAAATCTGAGAGGTCTACTTTACCATTTTGTGGTTGACATCAATACAGTCTGAAGCAATAATGGTTTGATAAGATTTCAGAAATCTTATCAAACCATTATCCCTTCAATAAACATATCTTTTGGTCCCTGCCTATGGCGCTTAAATGATTACGAACCTTGAAGTTGAGTGCCAATTTTTCTAGAATTCCGACAAAACAAACAGTAACTTACTAGAGATAACTTTACGTGGGAATGGGGAGCAGGGGGGGGGGGAGGAATGCAATGAGTTTTTTCATCAAATGGATAACGCCACGCACTCCAAAAAACTTCTCCCAGTCACCTCTCCCCTGAGCCACTTCGCTTTTGTTCAGCGCCTACGGTAAAGGGAGATAAAGCTTTGTGAAGATGAACGTATGGTGAAAAATACATAATGAGATTCGAAGCTCCTTTAGAGCTGAACGCAATTTCAGTAACTACGTACATACGGACCTTGTCGCGCTTTGATAGCATGATCAATTAAGAGCGCATCTTAGCAAAATCTCGACATGAAAACTCCCCTTCTCACCTGGGCTTTTCCGTCCCGATCATGTAACTTGGAGAGTGCAAAAATGTTGAAAAGGGGCTTCACCCAAAGCTCAAGATCTTGAATTTGAATATGCGGAAAAATTGCGCCAAGGCTGGAGACACAGAATCGATAAGGGACCCTATGGTCATAGCTGTGGGAGATGTGCGTGCTCTAAGTTAGAGCTTATCGGTGGCTGGGCGCATCCGAGCCGAGGTTCGAGGAGCGGATCTTGGAGCAAATTCCAGGCCTCGAATACCTCCTGGCTCGGAACTTTATAAGTAAGCGGCCTATCTTTACACTCCACGGAAGCCCAACACTCCCTCCCCCCCCTCTTTTCGGGATGCTGGAGCAAAGGCAAGAAGGTGTTCATTGACATAACCCAGAACTCTGCTATGTCAGATCGATGCGCTGACGACTCATTTTCTCTTTTTATAAGATGGCTTTTTCTCTATGATTGGTTCTCGCACAGGATCAACCAAGATATCATGCTCCTGTGGTTGTCTAAAAGCATGCCCTCTCCACGATACATCAAAGTTCTTCGAAATCCCTTCGGTATAAGGCTGACTTGGTAAACTTGCCAAACTTTTCTCATCCTTGGTCCACTTCCGGCAACTAGCTTCAACCTTTCTATGTTTCTATTTCGAATGCAATCAGGCACAAAGATCAAATCATTGGAGAATTCTATTTTCTACTGGATTTGCTTCCCTCAGCAAAATTTTGAAAAATATTTATTGTTTCGTGATCGGCCAGTGTGAGTAGATGTACAGTTTGTCTTCACGAGAGATTTGGAGAAGCAACTAGGTGCACATCAAAATAAGGCAGCGACTCAGGATTCCGGTTCCATGCGACCATGGCCTATCCGAATGTATCATACATAGAAATGCTCGCCTTGGAACGCTGACCTCAAAATTGTCTTTGCTACCTGTGGAACGACTGTGTGGAAAAAGCGTCGTAGCATACGCAAAATTAGCCGCACCAACAGAGACCAAACCTCATTCTGTAGATAATACCAACTCACTGACCACTAAAGTATTTATCACCGCTCTGTTGCCATTACCTCTCGTAATG